GCAGTCCCATGAGTCCTGTTAAAAAATAATCATGAAATGATAGACATTTGAAGATGACATGGCACACCAGGGAAGTTAAGGGAAGGGGGAAGGGCTCTTCAGCCTGCAGGTCTCAAACTTGCCTACCACAGCATATTCCTGGCTAAGGGAAATCCAAACTCCTCACAGATCCTTTAGGTGGGCCCTTTGGAAGCCTGAGATGACTTGGGGAATTCTAGTGTCCTGAGCTGCTGATTGAGGATTGAGCTCTTTTTGAGGGAAGCTCAAATCTCACCTATAAACCAAAAGAGTGTGTGTCAGCTCTTCTCTCACCCTCATCCTTTGTGTAGTTGAGCTGCTTCTGGAGACAAGTTTTTTGAAGGTATCTTGGCTTCAGTATGTTAGATCCTGGGCTCCATGCACCCCCTCTGCTCCTGCTGGAAATTTCCAGGAGATGGTCCCTGGAAGGCTTTGCAAGCATCAGACTTGCAGAAGTCCATTCTTAATCTTCCATTTCAGAACAGTTGGATCCTGGCTCCCTCTGTTCCACAGCTTTGCTGGAAAATAGCTGAAAAAAAGCCAGAAAAAATATATAAAAGACCAAGGAGCTGAATTTGTGGTGCAGTGAGTAATGATGTGAGCAGGCAGCTGCCTGGCCAGGCTTCCCCTTCTGACCTGTTCTCCTGGCTGCATGCAGCGTTTCCCTCTTCTGCTCTGGTGCTCATCTCTGACATTACACAACCTCTTCCCTCCAGAGAGAAGGTCTTGAGGCTCTGAGCCTTGGTAAAAGCAGCTGGGGTGGTTGGTCTGGCTTTCCCAGGCTAGATTGTGTGGTCATGCTGTGGCCAGGATGCTGGGGTTTTGCACAAATTATTTTTCCACTTCTCTGGCTTAAACTGCAGGGGGTTAGTCCAAAGGCAGATTTTAAATGGGTTGTTTTATTTTTTTGCTTTGCTAACGAGGAGTTGCTGCTAAAGCAGGGGCTGGAGAAGGAAGGGATTATGATGAGATCATGGTTCATTCCTCAGCTCTTTGTCGCTGGTGGAAGTTGGGTGGAACTTGAGCAGTGGCTGGGTCTTCCACAAAGGTGGGATTTTCATGTCTCTTCCACCCCTGCCTTCCCTCCAGAGCTGAACCTGAAGGAGTCATGTCCTCAGATCACACCAGCTTTGGGGTTTATTTCTTATTCTCTAGTGCAGCACAAACTGGTCTTTGGGAGTCCAAACTGGGACCTGATGTTTTCTGGGCAGCAAAGACCATTTCTGTTCTTGCAGCTTGAAAAAATGTGATGAAAACTTTATTTATTTTTCACTGCATTTTACTGTCGGGCATGAAATGCATTGCAAAAAAAGTGAGAGGGGACAGGAACCCCAGATGTTGTGTCTGATTTGCATAGCATGATCTTGCCAGTTGTGGAGCAGTGGCCTGAGAACAAAGTGGGTGGTTTTGTTCCAAGGTCAGCAGAAAGATATGGAAAAGTTTATTTTTCCTTTTGATTGCTGGAAAAGTTGTGTTGGAAACACAAGGGAGAAAGCATGGGGAATGGTATTTTAACACTTGCACTGCCAGTCCTTTCAGTCTCCTTGTTAGTAAAGCTGATGTTATGTGATCCTCTGGGGTGGTGTTTTGAGAACTCCCTTATGCCAGAAGTCCCTTGTGTTAGTTGCTAAATAACCAGGTGATACAGGAAAACATCTGTCCAAAAACTGTGTCTGTAATTAGGAAAACAGTTTCTTCTCTATAGAGATTCCAAAAATACAAAAGGAGGGTCATTTGAGGGAATTGTGGAGTGTGAGGGTGGTGAGAGCCTGGCCCAGGTTGCCCAGGGAAGCTGTGGCTGCCCCATCCCTGGCAGTGTTGAAGGGCAGGTTGGATGGGGCTTGGAGCAGCCTGGGCTGGTGGGAGGTGTCCCTGCCCATGCAGGGGGTTGGAACTGGATGATCTTGAAGGTCCCTTCCAACCCAGCCCATCCCATGACTCAGCACCCCCTGGGAGGGCAGGAGGGATGGGGTGGGCTTCATTAAAACATAATCCCCACTCAGTCAGGGTAGCTCAGCTGGCTGGACCCCCCGTGGCTGCAGTAACACGTTCTGTTGTAGAAGCCCAATGACTTTCTGGCTATAGCTGTTCCCCTGGGGCAGGGCAGGCAGGGCCCTGAGCACAGCAAAGGCAGGGGGAGGAATTGAGCCCAGTGGCATGACCCAGTGCCCCCAGCAGTGTGTCCCCTTTGCATCAACCCCTCCGCTCTGAGCAGGCATGTGACAGCAAAGACACAAGTGGGTCCCACAGCAGCACTGATATCCTTGGGGGAGAGAAACTTGGCAGGGAGGGAAGCTGCAAGGTTTGTGGGGAGCAAGGCATTGAAATGATTTATTTCCCTGGGAACTGGTTTGCTCCACTCAATGGGAAGTCGAGACACTGGGCTCAGATCTAGACCACACAGGCTTGTAAGTCTGTACTGGAGAAACCCAAGAGATGGAGGTTGAATTGTTCTCCCACCCCAGATGACAGTCCCTGGAGGAGCTGGCTGAAGGCAGCGTGAGGAGGGGCAGAAGTTCAAGGATTTCACTGTTCCTCCTTGCAGGCTGGAAGTCTCTTTGGTGGGCACAGGCAGCCTGGGCTGATTTCCTTTCTGCCTTGAGGAACCAGGAGCTGCTCTCCCCTTGCTGTGGAAGCCAAGGCTGTGGTTACCATGGGCAGAGGACAGCAGCAGAACTGGTTGTTCTCTGTCACACCGAGTGTTTGTCATCCAAACTGAAACAATAGCTGTGACTGTACCCACCACACGAGTGCAGTCCAGGGCCAAGGATTCTCAACACCCCCGGGATGAGTTCATCTGGAGAGTCCCCATGTTGCAAGGGCAACGTGCTGCTGGGACTTGTTCCCTGCTGGGAAATTTTGCAGAAATCCAGAATTAAAGGTGCTGTTTGTTGCCTTGGCTGGGTACCCACCTTGGCACTGGTTCATCCTGCTGTTGCTGGGGGGGAAAGAGGTGAGGTGGCTGGGGAAAGAATGGTGCTCTCTGAGCAGGAAGAGCTTTGGTGGCTCTTCCCAGGTGAGGAGCATGACAAATTTGTGATGAGACAAGCTTTGCTCCACCTGAGGTTGCATAGCCAGGGCAGGGAGAGCTGAGGAAATCCAGGTGGAGGTTTTGAGGCAGAGAGATGAAGCAGAGGGAAAGAAAAGACTCTCTTCTTGCTCAGGAGAGAGTGGTCAGAAAATGGGCCAGCAAGCAGCAGAGTTGTAGCCTTGCTGTGAGATCTACAGCAAAAGGTTCCTTTGGGTATGCTCAGGGGGGTGGGATTTCTCTCTTCAGAACAATGCATGGCATTGGAGCCAGCTCCTTGGAAAAAATGGCTTGATTAAAGCTGACTGTTGGCTCACTGGCTATTTCAGTGCTGGCAGAGCCCAGGCCATCCCTGTCCTTCCCAGTGCACCTCTCTTGGTATCAACAAAGCTGCTGGAAATCCCTGACACCTGGAGTTCAGGGAGCACCACGACCCTCTTTGTAAAATCATGGAATGGTTTGGGTTGGAAGGGACCTTCAAAATCACCCAGTTCCAACCCCCCTGCATGGGCAGGGACACCTCCCACCAGCCCAGGTTGCTCAGAGCCCCATCCAACCTGGTGTTGATGCCAGAGTTGCTTCCTTTATGTGCCATGGAGTGAGATGGCTGGGAGAGGGATGTTGGCCACAAGCACTGGGGATGCAGGGAGAAGAAGGAGGAGAAGTGACCCCCTCTCTGGTGCATCCAAGCCCAGAGAGCAGGGGGCTGGGGGCAGCAGCTCAGGGCAGTTGTCCTCTCAGCCAGCAGCACCAGCAGGGCTGGTGGACTTGGATAAAGACCTGGCCTTACTGGTGTGTGCCCGGGGGCTGGAGGGGAAAGTCTCTTCCCCCCCTTTCCTCTTGCAGCTGTAGCACCCCCACTGCAATCCCACCTTTCCTTTTCTTTCCCTCCTTCCATCCCTTACCAATGAGCTCTTAGATTTTTGCAGGGATCTTTGCCAGAGGTTACATGGGCTCACAGGCCTATAAATCAGTAAGTACACAGAGATAGGCAGATTAAATATTTAGATGAGCTGAGCAACAGTCCTGGGGTCACTTGTGTGCTGGTGTGATGGGAGCAGTGGGACTTGTGAGTGTCTCATCCATACCAGCCATGAGGAGGAAAGAGGACTGGGTGTCTGAAGACTAATTTTTAAATAGGCAGATCAGAAGGATTAATCAGTTGCTCAGCATGTTCCCGTTTGACAAAAATTGCTTCCAACCTGGCAAGAACTGCACTGGTTTTCACCTCCTCCCTGCAGAGGTTTTTGGTGGGAGTGCAAAACTTGGCAGTCGCTGTTTGCTCTTTCCAGGCTGAGTGCTGATTGTTCAAAGGGAATTGAAATGAAAACTGCACCTGAAGAACATGCCAGGGTCAGTTTTAGTCTGCTCCTTGCACAGTGTGGGAGCTCAGAGCAGAAGAGCTCAGCTGGAAAGTAGCTGGACTAAGTGTAGTTGGGAACATGGACCATTCCAGTGGTGCCAGTGTCTCAGTGGGAATTCTCACCATTAAAGCTGTCAGAAAAGAATAATTCCATAGTAATTTCACATGCATTTTTGGCATCTCTTTATTCCTCCTTGATGTAAAAAAACAATTCCATAGTAATTTCACAAGTATTTCTGGTATCTCTTTCTTCCTCCTTGGTGTCCTGCTCTTGAGAGTTTTCAGTCAACAAGTACACACAGCAAAATAATTTCTCCTGTCCTGGGAAGGGAAGCAGGTCCTAAATTGTGGCTGTTCTTTAAGATGTCCAGAGGTGTAACTGAATTGCATACCCTTTCCTCTTCTGGACATGGAAGTGAAGGCAGGGCATAAATAGTGAGCTGTATGAGCCAGTCTGCAGAAGAACTCAAGGTAGATAATGTTTAGAGGTTGTAGAAAAGAGAAAGGTTCCCTTCTTCTTGGGGCAGAAAGAGGTTTGGATGGAGCCTTGGCTTCTGAGCTGTGCACCAGGAGTAGCTCAGGAGGAGAGGGATGATCTTAGTACCTTGGCATAGCTTCTGCTTGCTGGTCCCCAGCCACCAGTATCTGTCCAGTTCTCTGTGGAGGACCTTGTTAAGGCTGATGGTGGTGGGCGGGTGCCAAAAGGCAATAATTGCTCTTCACACTGAGAAGGTGGCAAGATCCATCTGCTGAGCCCTTGTAGGGATATGGTCTGTCCCAAGACAGGGCATGGTGGGTTCCCACAGAGTGCCCAAATGCCTCTAAAGCCAGAAGCCAGATGGATTGATACCTGCATGGAAAACAGTGTTGGTTTATGTGAGAACAGGATGTAGGGAGGTTCTGCTATTGAACAAGGTTTCCCCTGAGTGTGCATGAAGGGAACCATGGCTGGTTTCCAGGCTGGTTTTAGACATGGGCTACAATCCACATCAAAAGCTCTCTCTATGAAATACCAAAATGCTTTAGCTGGGCAGAAGAGAAGGTCAGCTGCAGCTGATCAGAACGGGTCCTTCTGGCTTTAACAATATGACTTTCATTTCTGTTCCACGTGCTCTTGGGTTCGGAAATGAACAAATTCGTTCTCCAGGATTCTGGTTGCTCTGAAGCAAGTGAGGGAAGGCAGCAGAGGAAATCTGGGGCTGCTTGCCCTCAGTGATGTGTGGAGATAATGGCTATCTGGTATTTATTTAACAAAACCAAAAGCAGATTCCTTGGAGGCTTGCCTCCTTCTTGGTGAAGGACAGAAGCCCCCAACTGTCATTTGAGGAGGCCAGGGATGTGGGGTGTGACCTGGCAGCAGTTTGTCCTTGCCACAGGGGGATTGTGAAACCCCTTGCTTCTTTGCCAACACCAGTTGTTATGCTGCAGGTTTTGGGGTGGGATTGAACCTGGGACAACACCCCTGTGCTGAGACACCAGAAGTATGAGCCCTTTGGCTTTGTCCTTTAAGGCTGGAGCCTTTCTCTTGCACCCCAACATCTTCGTTCACCCCACTGTTGCCAAAATTCTGTGACTCTCACTCTGCTCATTCCTCTCGTTGTCAGGAGGTGAAGATCTTTCGTGCCTTAATCCTGGGGGAGCTGGAGAGGGGCCAGAGCCAGTTCCAAGCCCTCTGCTTCGTCACGCGGCTGCACCGCAACGAGATCATCCCCAGCGAGTCCATGGCCAAGCTGCGGCAGGTGAGAGGCTGCTGGCACTGCCAGCCCATCCTCCAGCCCATCCAGGGCTTCTCAGAGCTGTCCTGCCTGGATACCCTTCCCAGGCAGCTGCCCAATTGTTCAGCTATTAGTGGTGACCACCACTTCTGCTTGAGGGACTCGGTGTTCCTGGAATTGTGGAATGGTTTGGGTTGGAGGGACCTGAAAGATCATCCAGATCCAACCCCTGCATGGGCAGGGACACCTCCCACCAGCCCAGGCTGCTCCAAGCCCCATCCAACCTGCCCTTCAACACTGCCAGGGATGGGGCAGCCACAGCTTCCCTGGGCAACCTGGGCCAGGCTCTCACCACCCTCACACTCCACAATTCCCTCCTCATCTCTCACCTCAATCTTCCCTCTTCCAGTTTTCATCCCTCCCCCCGTGTCCTCTCCCTCCCTGCCCTTGTCCCAAGTCCCTCCCCAGCTTTCCTGGAGCCCCTTCAGGCACTGGAAGGTGCTCTAAGATCTCCCTGGAGCCTTTCTCTTCTCCAGGCTGAACAGCCCTAACTCCCTCAGCCTGTTTAAGTTCATCAATACTATTGATCCCATTCCACTAATATACTAGAAGGAGTACAATTTAGTTCGGCCTGGTCTGTATCAAGGTGGCTGGATGGCTGGGCAATCAGCATGAAAACCCCTGCCTCCTGTTGCCCAGGGGTGTAAGGGCTGATTTGGGACCACTCTTGAGGACAAGGCGTTGAGAAAGGATCCCAGGCAAATCAGAGCAGTGCTAAACTATCATGGAATCATGGAATGGTGAAGGTTGGAAGGAACCTTCAAGATAATCAGGATCCAAGCTCCCTGCCAGGAGCAGGGACACCTCCCACTAGACCAGGCTGCACAAGGTGATCACTTTCAGTGTCCCTAAGTCTTTTAAGTGCCTTCCATTCAAATAGGATGCAGGTGCCTTTACAGGGGAACATCCATTTCCACGTCTTCTGGTGTTGGCAGGAAATCATGACATGCTACAAAGGAATAATTTGCTGCAACCAGGATCCAACCTTTCATTATTTCACCCTCTGCAGAAAAACCCCAGGACAGTGAGGCAGGCTGAGGAGGTGAGGGGCCTGGAGCATCTCAGCATGGATGTAGCTGTCAACTTCAGCAAGGGAGCCCAGCTGAGCTCTCACATCCACAATGTCTGTGCAGAGGCCAAAGAAGCAATTTATACCCGAGAAGAAGATGTCAAATTTTGGCTGGAGAAAGGTAAGTTTCCTTCAGTTTCTTTGGAACAGCTCCTGTCAGCATGTTGGCACTCTGCTCTGAGCTGTCCTGCCAGGCTTCTGGTGATCAGCACAGATCATTTTTGGCTTCTTTCACTGTCTTCACAGTGGGTAAGACACATGCTTTGCTTGCCTGCACATTGCATAGTCTGTTTGTTAGCATATCTGACTTCTTCTGGTGGTGCTTTCCTGGTGAACCTCATTAGGCAGGTATTAAGAAAACCTTTCACCTGGTCCAACACCCAGAAGAAATATGTTCTTTGTGCACTTTGTCTCTCTTTTGGCTTGCTTTCCCCAGGGCCCTGGCTTCTCCTGTGGTTCCTATTTATGTCCAGAATGCCCCTGAAAATGCACTGTCTAACCTCATTCTCATTGACTCTCCTGAGGACTGTGCAGAGAGAGCAATGCATGCTGAGGTGGCTTTCTCCTCTGGCCTTGCCTCTTCATGGTGCCACAAGAATGATCTGAGGGCTGGAGAACCTCTGCTGGGAAGACAGGCTGAGAGAGTCAGGGTTCTTCAGCCAGGAAAAGAAAAGGCTCCAGGGAGACCTTAGAGCACCTTCCAGGGCCTGAAGGGGCTCCAGGAAAGCTGGGGAGGGACTTGGGACAAGGGCAGGGAGGGAGAGGACAAGGGGGAAGGGATGAAAACTGGAAGAGGGAGATTGAGGTGAGAGATGAGGAGGGAATTGTGGAGTGTGAGGGTGGTGAGAGCCTGGCCCAGGTTGCCCAGGGAAGCTGTGGCTGCCCCATCCCTGGCAGTGTTGAAGGGCAGGTTGGATGGGGCTCGGAGCAACCTGGGCTGGTGGGAGGTGTCCCTGCCCATGCAGGGGGTTGGATCTGGATGATGTTTCAGGTCCCTTCCAACCCAACCCATTCTGTGATGCCTCTGGTTTCTCCCGCAGGGGTGGATGGCTCCATGTTCGAGGTCCTGCCCCAGACAGCTGACCTGCCTGGCCTGCAGCGCTGCAGGCTGAGCTCTGAGCTCTGGAAACCCTGCATCTGCAGCTACTCCCTGAGCATCGAGTGGTACCCCTGCATGCTCAAGTACTGCAAGAGCCGTGACGCTGCGGGCAAAGTTTCCTCTTACAAATGCGGCATCCGCAGCTGCCAGAAGGGCTACACCTTTGATTACTACGTGCCACAGAAGCAGCTCTGCCTCTGGGATGAGGAGACCTAGCAGAGCCAGGCCAGAGCTTTTCAAGGGGCAGCTCATCTGCCTCCATTTATCGTCCTAAGAGCCTCCTGGCGCTGGCTGCTCCAAAGAAGGAACGAGGTTCTCAGCACCAGGAGGGCTCTGTGTGTGAGTGCCTTGCCTTCTTGGCCCCCTGGGACTCCCTCCCCGCCTCATGCTGCCTCATCCTGTGATAAGCAGGCTCAGCTCACTGTGTTGATGCTCTCCTGCCAGCTGCTGGGTGATCTGGCTTCCTGGAAGCAGCAGGAGCTGCAGGTCTCTGGGGGGAAGCACCGGGAGGGGTGTGTTCTGGAGTTGGCAGTGGTGAAAGGGGGAAGCTCAGAGCAGACACCAGCCTGGAGAGTCCTGCTAAGTGCTCAGGGTAGGGAGGGAAATGGTCTCAATGACCCAGGGTGTCAATCATCAATGCCACTGAAGGAGCCCCTTCACTGATTTCACCACCTCCTGGTGACACAACAGCAGTTCCCAATGGGAAAGCAGCTGCTTTATGGGACCCCATACCCTGAACAAGGAAGGTACGAAGCCCAAAGCCAGAGCCTGCCTGTAGCTTTTTCCAGTGGCCAACTGGCTGTTCCATCCTTCCTGGGGCTAGAAGATACCATGGGGGGATATAGCCCAGCAATGACTTGTGCCCCTAAAGGGCTCTAATTAATCTCAGTTTTAGACTAGTGAAGGCCCAACTTTTTGTGTTGGTCCTGTGACTCTCCCACTAAGAAAGAAACATCTGGAAGCTTGTGACTGCCATCATAGCACTGTGGTTGCAAGGGGAGGGGATGATAACACTGTCTTTTTGAAGAAGACAACATCCAGTTTTGTGTCCTACTCTGCCAGCTACTCACAAGAAGCTCTTAGATAATTGTACTGCTTTGCTGTGCCTTGGTTCCCCCTATCTGTAAAATAGGGATGACACTGAAGCTGACCTTGGCCCTTGTATATTCCTGGAGGGCATCAGACAAAAAGCCCTGCAGGAGTGTTGCCTGGTTCCTGTGTCCTCTTCCACTCAAATTAGAACAAGCAGGGATGGGAGAAAGGCCATTGGGGTCATTGTGAACCCCTGTACCTCCTGGTAAAAAGCCTTCACAATGTGCCTTTTTGCCTAAACTACAGGAATTTTTGGAAAACAAAACCAAACCAAACACAATATAAATAATTTGGTCACAATTATTTTTGTATTGATCACTTAAGCGGGGGGAGAAGGGAAAGGTATTTTAATATTGCAACATGAAGTAAAACACACTTGAAATGATTTTTTTAAAAAGCAAATTATTTATCATTTTTAAGGTAAAATAAACTGATTTTTTTTTTTAAAAGCATCCCTGGCCTAAATGATTCTCTGTGCATCTTAATCTGTGTGTGCTTGATCCAGTTGTTTGGTTAGGAGTTGTTCCCTTCTGGGTGAGTCTCAAGCCTGCACCTAGGACAGTGAAAGTAAATGGATGGAGGGGAACATCCTGATGTTCAGCATATTCTGGAGAAGAGAAGGCTCCAGGGAGACCTTAAAGCACCTTCCAGTGCCTGAAGGGGCTCCAGGAAAGCTGGGGAGGGACTTGGGACAAGGGCAGGGAGGGAGAGGACAAGGGGGAAGGGATGAAAACTGGAAGAGGGGAGATTGAGGTGAGACATGAGGAGGAAATTCTGTGCTGTGAGGGTGGTGAGAGCCTGGCCCAGGTTGCCCAGGGAAGCTGTGGCTGCCCCATCCATGGCAGTGTTGAAGGGCAGGTTGGATGGGGCTTGGAGCAGCCTGGGCTGCTGGGAGGTGTCCCTGCCTATGCAGGGGCTGGGACTGGATGATCTTGAAGTTCCCTTCCAACCCAAACTGTTCCATGATAGCAGTACTTACCAGTGTGGTCCTGCATCTCCAGCATGCTGTGCACCCAGCCCCTCAGTTGAGAGGCAGTTTTGGCTCCTGCCAAGCAACTGGGAAGTTCAAACCTGAGCTCTGGTTAAAGGAAGAGACCAGCAGTAGAAGTAAATCCTGAGGTTAGGGAGGCTGGTGCCTGCTCCTCTCTGCAAGTGATGGTGGGATCCCGTGAGGGAATGTTGTGCAGATGTGGCTGGAAGCTTCTCTGGGTCCAGCAGCCTCAATAAACTGTTCTTTGTCTCTGCAGCTACAGCTGAGAGGAGATGAGGGCAGCAGAGTTTTGGGCCAGCTCGGAGCTTCTAGCTCAGTGGCTGCTCGAGGAAGCAATGTGGAGTGCTGATTCCCCCTAGTGTGGTGAATGCAGAGATGGGACAAGGACTCCTGCAACCTCAGCCCTTCTCCTTTTTGAGTCACCAAAGCAACTTTCTCCCTAGCTGTGATTTCCAGCAGAGCTGTAATTGCTCCTTTTTCACTGGCAGGGACAGGATTTACAGGAATGTGTGCTCTGCTGCCTCTGCTCCTGCTGCAGCAGGACACCCTGGGACTTTGCTCCTGCTTGCTGGAGTTCAGTCCAGCTGTGGGGTGAGATGGGCTGGGAGGGGAGTGGGAAGGACTCACAGGATGACTGTGTGCTGATCTGGGAACCCTGCAGAGCCCATTTCCAGCTCCCTCCTGTGCAGAACTGCTAGAGGGGAACAGGAGCTGGCCCGGGGAACTTTGGGGCACAGCCCAGAGAGCTTGGATGTGCTTCTTGTGCAGCAGTGATGCTCTGGGGTGCCTGGATCACAGGAACACCCCTGGTTCTTTGCCTGGGGTGTCCCCAGGCCACCTTGGGAAAGCAGCAGGGTGGGCAGCAGCACCAAACCATCTCCTTGGCTCTGAGGGGTGATGGAGGAGGTCAGAGAGTGTTTTGAGCTTCTGTGTGCAGCAAGGCCAGCCCGGTGTCGTGGGAGCTCTGAGAGCAGCAGATAAGAGAAGGACATGTGCTCTAACTATGGCCACTATAGACTGAGCTCAACTTGATAGTCATTTCTGGATTTCTGTGTGCTCTGGTGGAGCAAGAGGAGAGGCAAGCAGCTGTGGCATGTCCTCCAAAGCGTGGGAGGGAGCTGGTGCCTCTGCTTTCCCAAAACTAATGTCACCAGCCTGTCCTGAGGCCACCAGGGCCTCGAAGGTGTCCCCAAGGGGCACCGTGAGTTTCTGGAGCAGCTGCTGGAAAAGGTTTGCCAGGCCATTGGGAACAGCCCGGGGGGCTTGGGAACCGAGGGGGCTGCCTGGGGATGGGGAGGGGTCTCTGCCCAGGGGTGGGGGGCTCAGCCTGGGGATGGGGAGGGGTCTCTGCCCAGGGGTGGGGGGCTCTGCCTGGGCATGGGGGGATAGGGAATCCTGCTCGGGGCTGGGAGGGTCTTGCCCGAGGCTTGAGGGGGGGTCTTGCCCAGGGATGGAGGGTTTTGCCTGGGGGTATGG